ATGCTTAACATTTTGGTGTGTTTCTCCAATTTATATACAGAGTTTTCAATCTTTCTTCAAGTTTTTTGAAACTCAATTATCCAAACCCAATATTTGAGAGGAAAAGAGGCAAAACTTGTTTAAATAATGAAAAATGATGTATAGTAATGGAATCTTTTGCAATAAATGGTATATATCAAACAATTTTGATAGTTCTCTTTTTTTATTTGTTTTAAAATAAACTCTTGAGTTGTTTATATGAAAACAAGAGTTTGAGTTCTCAATTTCAATTAAAATGACTCGACAGTCAACAAACCAGGAAAGAGTGAACCAAATGCTATTTGGTTTAAAGCTAAGTGGAAATGAAATAAAAATAGAGAAGAAAGATGATCATGAAAGCAGAGTAGAAAATTTTTCACTGTCCTATCCTAGTAAAGTGATTGATTCCTTTCTGACCAGAAATAAAGGCAAGCAAGAGGTCGCCTCTGCCCTGTTCTGTCTTCTTAGAGAGGCTAATTGCTCTCAGGCCCAGGGCTGGCTGTGCTGAGACCCAGCTCTACACTTCTGACCATCAGGAGAGAGAAAAGTCTCCTCCTAGCTGCTAAGGATGGCCTGAAAGGATTTTATTCTTCCCCTTGCATAGCTTTAGAAATTTAGCTTTCAAAAGGGAGACACATAGTCATCCCCTTGGTGTCTAGGCTAAAGCAGGAAATATCATGGAGCAAATTCCTATGAAGGCTGGAGCCTTTTTAGGATTTTGTAGCAAGCCCAGCAAGTGATCTACAAATGCAAAAGAAAGAGCCCATTTAAGAGCTCTTCTGAGGTCCCTGTCCTGGGGTGCTGGGTCCTGTGCCTGTGCCGGGAGCCTCCGTCCCCACCTGACCATCTTTCTAGCCAAGAGAGGCCCATAGTTCCTTGAGATGCAGTCTCTTTTTATCTCCGTGAAGTCTGCTTCTGAGATGCATCATGAGGTCCATGCAAAGAGGGCATCTGAGACCTGCAAGGGAGCTACAGAAGAAATAAGCAGGGTTTGGGGACAGGGGAGCTGTGCAGGCACAGGATAGAGCTTCAAGCATTTCTTTAAGCATTTCTTTAAGATATGACTGGACAGTGATGTACTCATATTAGACAAAAAACAATTTGAAAGTTGAAGACGTAAACTTTGAAATGTCATGGAGCCCAAGGTAAGCTGCAAGTCCAGAGCTACCTGTCTACAAAAGTGTTGGTGGCCAGTGCACATTTAGCCAGAAAATGAGCACATTTGTGGTGTTGGTTGGGAGTGGCCTGGATCCAGAGACTATAAGGGCCAAAGCTTCTACTCTAACAGGATAGGATCTTGTTGTTTAGAATGCATCTTTCTCAGATTGCTATGGTTTGGGGTGTGACCTTAGTAACCCCCCATAAGAGTTCATGGCGGTTTAAGTCCTGGTCCCCAGGGTGGCACTGTTGGTGCAGGAAACCTTTGGGAAATGGGGCAAGTGGAAGGTCCTTAGGTCATTGGGGGCACGAGGTAGTCGGAGTGCAACTTGAACCCCTTGAGTTCTCATAGGAGGATTCTTATAAAAATATGGAGCCTGGCCTCACTCATCCTTTTGCCCTCCACTCTTAGATGAGATGTAACAACTTGTTCTAACTTCCATTCTCACCATTACCATCCCCCATTCACCAGAACTGAGCTGATGTGCACTCCATGCCCCTGAACTCCAAACAGTGAACTAAACATTTTGTCTTCATAAAGTTACTTGCCTCTGGTATTTTCATGTCGTAATACAAGGCTGACTAATATATGGACTATTGAAAAGATGTTTGTCAATGTCTGTTGTCCTTACTTTGTAACATCGTATCTCCACACAGGCCCACACATGACTATGGATGACAGAGCTGGGTCCTGGCATGAGTGTGTCCCCTTCCCTCTTCTAGAATGACTGAGGCCTGTTTCCTGGATACACTTTCCCAGGATCCTGGCATTTGGAGAATTTGTTTAGTTCACTTAGGGAAGAGTGTCCCACCTGGGTTTGGGAACCAATTATGAACATTTTGGAAGGCTCAAAGCCCAGTTTGACTCTTGGCCCAGCATTTTCTTTCCAAAACTCAACTAAGATCCAATCAGTCCCTTGCTTCAAAGTTTATTGGTCTCCTCTAGCCTGTTAAGAGCAATGCCAAAGCTTTAGCTTTTGTCATCTGGTCCCAGATCACCCCTCTGGTGGCACCTTCTACTTTTCTTTCTCTGTCGCCATACATCTTTCACTGAAATCAGGTTGGCCTGGACACCACTTTGGAAACATCAAATGCTATTCCCGACTCTGTCCTTGATGGAACACTCTCTCCTTTCCCTCTTATCTGCATAGGGAGCTCCTACTCATCCTTCACTCCCAGCTCAAGTGCCACCTCCTCTCTAGGACTCTTTCTGAATTCCCATGGTGCTTTCACTTCCTTTCTACTTCCTCCGGCCTACCTCCATTCAATAAGAAGTGATCATTCCCCTACGTGGGCTCCCTTACTATATAGCATTAACTATGTAGGCTATCGGGGTTTTTTTTGTTTGTTTGTTCATTTCTCCCATAAAATTCTGTGATTCGAGGTTTGGAACACTGGATCCAAAATTGTTAATTCATAAATTTTTATTAAAACAAATTTGCTCTTCAACAAGTATTTTAGAATTGAAAAGAGTATCCAAGAATTCATAGTCAAGAGTTGGTTTATTGGCGGGGAATGAGGTGCACACCTATAATACCAGCCCCTCAGGAGGCAGAGACAGGGAGATTACAAATTCAAGGTCAGCCTGGGTAACTTAGTGAGACCATGTCTCAAAGGAAGAAGAGTCAGGGGTGTAGTTCAATGACATCCCAGGGCTCAGCCCCTAGTACTCCCCCACTCCACGCTTTGTTTTTCTTAAGTCCATCAAATAGAAATATATGTTTCTACACCAAGCCATAATAGGCAATGAGAATGCAATAACGTTTTCCTGAACTCAGGAAAAAATTGAGTGTAATTAGGTTGGCTTCTTGGTTTAGACTATATCTAGTAAAGTCCTTAACTGAAGAGATTGGTGCTTAAATTGTGGATCTCTGCAAAGTATTTGATCTGATTCAATGTGAGTATGCAGAGATTGTATTGAAGGCATGATAAAAATAAAGTTTTCTCTCTTATGGGTACATTCCAGTGTTACTATATTGACTAAAAAGGTAAAAGCAGTCTCTTTGTCCACCCTAGAGAGTGGTACCTGTCAAAATCCTCCAAAGTCACAGTTTTCTACCCAAGTAGATCTCAAGCCTAGTTAATAATGTTAAGAACCATCTAGAACAGCAGGAAGAAAACCGCAGTCCACAGGTCAAAGTCAATGTTCTTGCAATCATGAAATTTTGCTGAAACTCAGCCTTGCCCCCTTGTCCTCACATGTCTGTGGCTGCCTTCATGATACAATGGCAGAGGTAGTAGTTGCCACAGAGACCGCATGACTGGCAAAACTGAAAGTATTTACAATTTGGCTCCTTGCAGAAAACGGTTGCCGATGCTTGACCTAAAAATTTCATTTTGTTTTGTTTTTAAAATGATTCAGATGCCTGAGCCCCACCTTAGAACTATAAGCATCAGAAGGAGTAAATAAGGGTCCTTTTTTATTTTTAAAAAGCTCCAGGAGTGATTCTGATTATAAACCTCTAATTTTTTCCCAAGAGTTATCCATAATTCATGCCAAGCGAATTCTCCCTGCACAAGGAAGGTCCCTCAAAAGCAAGTCCCATATTTTAGTTATCCTTGCATCTGTAACACCTAACACAATTCCCAATATAATTAGATGTTAATAATGTTTTTTTCCCCTTACTGAGTATGAATAAATAGGCAAGATGAGGATGCTGAGATGGCATATCTATCTAGAACCCACTCAACATGATCACACATTGAAAACATTGTCTCAGGTCCTGGATCTGTGTCCTATTACTTTCTACTGAGATTTCTCTCATTCTTCCAAATTCAATCCAACCTAGGAAAACACACATGTCACTGACTGTGGATGGGTCTGAATTAAAAAAAAAAAATTCTGAGAGAGTGTCAAATGATATATGCCTCGGTCTGCAAAAACATGGTCATATTCTCATTGCTTGGGACATGCAGGAAAAAAAAAATTCAGCTCATCATGAGGAATGGTACAGATGGTATATTTGGCATCACCAGCCCGCCTAGATCAGAGACGCATTTATTTACATGACTTTGTTTGCATTGTGACCATTTATCTGGGCCTTTGCTCACATTTAACCTTTTAAAGGGTTAAGAGGGAGTGAACCATTTTGCCCTTGGGATTGGATGGAGTGAGCCTCCTGTAGAGGGGCATGTTTGCATCTCCTTATACCTGCAAAATACTCATTTCTTACAGCATCAGTAAACATTTGGTTATGTTATCTCGTGGGTCCAGGAGGAGTGTGGAGTGTGCCAAATTTAAGAGCCATTGCCAAATGCCAGAGCC